GAAGAGAATTTGAAAGCTATTGTGAGAAGAAGGGGAAAAAACAATCCGACACTGAAAAGGAATTGAGAAATAACTCAGCATTGTTAAATCCAACTTTCACTTGACTTCTAAAGTGTGCGAAAGCCATTCATTGACTCTTAAGGCAAAAATGTTCTGAACAAGATTTAAGGCGTGTTTAATATAGCAGTTCTCAACTGGGGGCAATTTTGCCCCCAGCGGACATTTGATAATGTCTAGAGACATTTTGGTTGTTATATTTAGTGTTATCTAGTGGCTAGAGGCCAGGTAAGCTGCAAAACATCCTACAGTGTATAGGACAGCTCCCATGACAGTACGTTTTTCTAGCCCCAAATGTGCATAGTGACAAGGCTGAGAAACGCTGGTTCAGTACAAGGTATATGGTCTTAGAGATGGACTGGCCAACCTGGCAGGGCACCTGGTGCCAGGACGTGTGAGTCTGACAGCACTGGCACTGCCCACTGTGACCTTGAGCAAGTCCTTGGCCCTCTGTAAGCCAGTTTCTTTATCTAGAAAAGGCGGACGATACCACCTACCCTGCAGGACATCTGGGGCCAGAATAAGATGATGAATGGAGATGCCGAGCAGCATTTACAACTGCCTTAACCCCAGGCTATGTCCCCCAATAATTTCTGCTAAAACTAAGGTGACAAAGCAAGTTTTAAAGGGCATTTCAAGTTTTTCATCTGTGAAAGATAGCACTTTTCTTTGGTCTCATGAATCATTTGGATTAAAAGGTAGCGGGGGCAGGGAGGGAGCGTGGACTGCAGCACAGCACAACTGGGCTCTGGTGCTGGGATTTGCTGCTAACCAGTGTTTGTCCTTTTGTATGTAAGATGGAAGTAAGATTTGTCCCCTTGGCTGTCTCAGGGTGACCTGGGGACTCAGCCCAGTGACACAAATGAGGATGCTCTGAGGGGTCCCTGGAGACCCTCCCTGCTCAGAGCTTAAGCACCCAGATCTTGTGGCCAAATGGCTGGGGCTAGAATCCCCTTTCAACCTTTCCTAGCTGTGTGACCTAGGGAAAGCCTCTCAATGTCTCTGTGCCTATCAGTGGTGCCCAGCTCACAGGGCCACGGTGGAGGCAGCTCTCGGCTCATATGAAGTGCTAAATAAGCGTGCACTTGATTGTTATTACAGCTGAACAGACAGAGGCTGGGTGAGGGAAAGTAACTGACCCAGTTTTCAAGTGCAGGTTTGTGGTCACAGTGAGACAGAAAGCCAGGTCTTCAGATCTTGGTCCTAAGGGCTTTGCTCTATGCCATGTCAAGTCCCATGCCGAGCTGGAAGTATTACTCCTGACTTAAAGATTGAAAACAATCATCAACAAACTAAGGATAGAAGGAAATTACCTCAATGTAATAAAGGGCATACATGATAAGCTCACATCACACTCAATGGTGAAAAACTGAAAGCTATCCCTCTAAGGTCAGGAACAAGGCAAGAATGCCCACTCTTGCCATTTTTAGAAGTCCTAGCCAGAGCGATCAGGCAAGAAAAAGAAAGAAAAGACATCCAAATCAGAAAAGAACAGTAAAATTAGCACTCTTTGCAAATGATATGCTCTTATAGGTAGAAGACCTTAAGACACCCCCACCACACACACACACACACAGAATGTAAGAACTAATAAAGAAATTCAGTGAAGTTTCAGAATACAACATCAACATACAAAAATCAGTTGCGTTTCTATGTACTAACAATAAATCATCCAAAAAAGAAATTAAGAAAACAATCTTATTTTAATTAATATCAAAAATAATAAAATACTTGGGAATAAAGTTAACTATCCAGGTGAAAGACTTTTACACCAAAAACTACAGAACACTGATGAAAGAAATTAAAGACAAAAATAAATGGAAAGATGTTCCATGTTCATGTATTAGAAGACAATATATTTAAAGTGCATACTACCCAAAGTAATCTACACATTCAATGCAATCCCTATAAAAATCCCAATGGCATATTTTATACAAATAGAAAAAAAATCCTACAATTTATATGGAACCACAGAAGACCATGAAGACCAAACCAATCTTGAGAAAAGAAAAACTAGAGGCATCACACTTCCTGATTTCAAATATACTACAAAGCCACAGTAATTAAAACAGTATGGCACTGGCATAAAGGCAGACATATAGGCCAATGCAACAGAAGAGAGAGCCCAGAAATAACTCATGCATATATGGTCACTCAGTCACTGACAAGGGTGCCAAGAATATTCAATAAGGAACGGACAGTCTTTTTGACAAACAGTAGTGGAAGAACTGGATATCCATACACAATAGAGTGAAATTGGACCCCTGTCTTCATTCAAAATGGATTAAAGATTTAAACGTAATACCTGGAACAGTAAAACCTGTAGAAGAAAATACAGGGGGAAAACTTCATAACGCTGGTCTTGGCAATGATTTTTTGGGTATGAAACGGAAAGCAAAATTAGACAAGTGGGACTCCATCAGACAAAAAGCTTTTGCACAGCAAAGGAAATCATCAACAGAGTGCAAATGCAACCTAGAATGGGAGAAAATATTAGTAAACCATGTATATCCAGTAAGGGGTTAATATCCAAAATATATAAGGAACTCCTACATGTCAATAGCAAACAAATAAACAAAAATAAAACAAGAACAAAATCCACTCCCTCCCCCCCAAATCTGCCAAATAGCCCTGTTAGCAAAAGGGCAATGGACTTGAATAGACATTTCCCTAAAGAAAACACACATAACTCCAACAGGCACGTGAAAACAGGCTCTGCAGCATCAGTCATCAGAGCAATGCGGGTCAAAAGCACGAGGTATCGCCTCCCACCTGCTGGGATGGTATTACTATGACTACTGCTGCTACTGCTGCCGCTTCTGCTACTACTAACAGTAAGTGCTGGGGAGGCTGTGGAGAACCCGGCAGCCCAGCCTAGCGCACTGCTGGTAGGAATGTGAACTTGCGCAGCCACATGGAAAACAGTACGGAGGTTCTTCAAAAAGCTAAAAATAGAACTACCATATGATCCAGCAATTCCACTCCTGGGTATTTATTCTAAAGAGTTGAAAGCAGGATCTTGAAGAGATATTAGCACCCCCGTGTTCAGCACGGCACTATTCACAGCCAAGATGTAGAAATAACCTAAACGTTCGCTGATGGATGGAAGGATAAAGAAAATGTGGTATATACATATCATGGAATATTATTCAGCCTTTAAAAAGAGAAGGAAGTCTTGCATCATGTGATGACATGGCTGAACCTGGAGGACCTTATGCCTCATGAACTAAGCCGGTCACAGAGGACAAATACTGCACGGTTCCCATTATACGGCATGTCTAAAATAGTCAAACTCATAGTAGTAGAGAGCTGGACAGTGGTTGCCAGGGGCTGGGGGAGGGGAAAAGTGGTGTTGCTAACCAAGATGTAAAGTTTCAGTTAAGCAGGATGAACAAGCTCTAGAGATGCGCACAGTATGGTGCCTACATTAACAATACTGACTTGTGCCTGTACATATTTGTTAGAAGGGTACATCTCATGTGACATGTTCTCAGGACGGTAAGACAAGGGATGGAAAGAAGTCAGTGTGAGGAGGGGGAATGCTCCAGGGCTGAGATGTCAGCGCTGCTGGCTCTGGGAGGATTTTCTTTTTTGGTCTATGCTTATGCAGTGGGGCTTACAAATATCCCCCAGTGGAATTTATAAAGTTACACAGCGTGTGCAAGTCAGAAAATTATGTCCCAGCAGAGGAGAGAATTCTGTTTAGAAATGTCATCGTTCTCAATCTAAATGTCTCATTAAATACAGATTCCATATGTGGTTTTATGATTCCAAGTGTTAACTTTAAGAAACGGATACATTCTTCCTCTGCTTTCTCAGAACAGGGAAGGTGGATTGTCTAGCACGATCCTGGTCTTGTAACGAGGACGAAACAAGAGGACTAGTCCAAGGTCACGCTGTTAACCAGACCAAGGAAAAGGTTAAACAAGTAAGGAGCGAGATGATGTCATTTCATCTCAATGTTTCCAAAAAGAGACTCAGGAGTTGTTGAAATGAGGCAGACATTGTGGTTGTCACTTTCTGTGCTGTTGTCTTTCTCTCTCCAGACAGGAGCTACTCCCCTTTCACGTCATCTCCCCTCTACACCCACAGACCCTCCCTGTCAACTTTTGGGGGACCCCAGGCTCATAAACGTGGAGGAGCTATTTTATCTGGGCCACTTCAGAATTTCCCTTCTCCCTCCTTCTGGGTCCAGGCACGTGTGTCCTGGGCTACATAAGTGACTCAGTGTGTGCGCGCGTGTGTGTGTGGATGCTTCAGTCCCACAGCCTCCCTGCTAAGTGGCTGGCCAGCTGGCTTGCACACTTTCATGAGTGGGGAACCTGCCGCCCCGGGAGGCAATCCACTGCTTTCCAGACCCAACAATAACAATAGAGATCCGAGTCTGCCTCCTCAGACCTCGAAGTCCTGAAGTCTGCCCCCTGGGGCCCCCGGGAGAGATGGGCGGCTGTTTCCATCAGAGAGTCAGGGACCTCACTGCACACCCCTCTTCTGGTTTCCCTGCCCACATCAACTCAGGCCCCAGGAAACTTTTCCTTTAAAGCCTTGAGATTTTCTCAGGCCAGCTCGCGCGCTGAAGCCAGCCCAGCCAAGAGTACTTTAACTGAGATCATCTCAGTGTTGCTCACTGTGACTTCCTAATGCCCATTTTATTGAGAAATACGACTTGTAAATATTTCTGGGGATAAGCAGTTGGAATGAACGGGGGGCATTTATTAAGGGGTAGTTCTGGGCTGGCTGCTTCACGGAACACCTTGCACGGATCATTTCTTTCAATATTACGTTATCCCACTTTACAGACACAGAAACTGAAGATCAGGCTGTGTTTCCCCAAAGGCACGGAGCCACTGGAGGTGGCAGAGCTGGGACTGGAACCCGGGCGTCCAGGGCCCAAGACCCAAACCAGCCCCCTCCCTCTGGTTCCTCCGTTGGTGCGGGGATGCTCACCGCATCGAGATAGCGGAGCTGGTAGCAGGCCCTGGTGGTGACCACGGTGATGACCTGCCAGGGGACGAAGGGACTCCTGAGCAGCTCCAGCGTGGCACCAGGCGGATGCTCCTCTGCACGTGGCTCTCCGCCAGGACCACCCTGCCACGTGGGAGGTGTCCTTTTGGCCCAGGACCGTCTGGAAAGCTGCCAGCAGGGACGGGCACGGGTCGGCGGGGAGTGGGCTGCCTGCTGTGTGTGATGCCGGGCCCTGCGGGGATGGTTGGCACCAGACACACTCCCCGTCAGGGATGAAGCTGGCAGGGAACTTTGAACCATAAAGTACCAAGCCTTTGTGTAAAAGTGGGAAAACAGAGGCCCTGAGAGATGCAATGTCTTGCCCAAGGTCACCGAGTTGGCTGGGAAAAGAGGCAGGAGAGGACGAGGATCTCCTGAACCCAAAGCAGAGCACGCCCAGTGTTCAAATCCCGTCTCCACCACTGGGTAGATGAACAGTGCCCCGTGCCTCACGTGGCTGCTGCAACACACACTAAACCCTGGCTCGATGAATATTTATTGAGCGCCTTCTGTTTACCCAGCCCTATATGTTCATCCTCATTGGAGGCATCCAGATGAAGGTCAGATCGCCACTTGGCCAGGATGCCTGGGAGCCGATTCTGTCATCGAGGGAGGATTGAACTAAATGAACTCCAGAGCCACATGCCCCCCTGAAACACAGAAACCTTGGCTGGAAATCGTGTCAAAGAGCTAATCTTCCTAGGATTCAAGCTTACCCATGTGACAGGCCTTTTACAGGCTGAACACTGCAATTTTCCAGCCTCAGCAAACCTGTCATTTTTTTTTAACCAAGCCTTTAATTGTGTAACCCTACATGGATATATGCGCAAAGGTGGGCTGACTGATTAGGACCCTGAGATCCCAACAATCAGACCATGAGAGACACTTCTAGCCCGTGGATTTAAATATTCAGCACTCCGACATACATCTTCCTAGAGCGAAGGCGGCTCTGGGATGACTCCTGCAGACAGTCCATTCCAGACACAGTGGGCATCGTCCTAAAAACACTGCTCTGCACCACAGGCCATGTAAAAGTGCTCTTCTTACGTAGCATGAAGAAAAGAAAAAAGCTGTTAAACTTCTCCAGATTCTCCAAGAAGCAAGCCCACAAAGGTTCTACGGTGTTATTTCCGGTAGCATCTTAAAAACTGCTTCGGAATGTCTCTTTTGCAATCTGTTACTTAATACATTTCCTAGCATTTATTAAGAATGAGTGGAAGAAGCAGCTGAATGAGTAATGCTCCTGTATCACGCACTAAACCATAATATTTCTCACTATTCAACATTCTCAAACTTTCTCAACATTTCATTTCTCAAACTGCAACATTCATGTGATAAAGTAATCTTCGCATTCTTAGGGCAGGAAAATATTTCTCTCTCCTCCCTGACATATATGCTTTCCATATAAAACAAAGAGAAACTTTAGCATCTTCTTTTTTTTTCCCTTTTCATCCTGGCTGCTAGGAAGTTCTCATTTAAAATCAGTGGTCAACTCTTAGAGTTTCCTGAAACAAAAATTTCTCTTCTTCCTCTTAAAAGTTTTAATCTCCTTCTTCTTTTAAGGCATCTATTTAATTGTCCTGCTGTATATGTGTTCATAAAAATAGTTTGTTTTCACTTGTCCCATACCCCTTCTTATATGGTTCCCGTGACTGAGATGGAGTGTCTTTTGTGACTGGTGTGGCAGACATGGAGAGGCACCACTCAGCTCCCCTTCAGTAAAGTACTTGGCCGCTGGGCTGTGAGGAGTGTGGTTAGCTGCCAGCCTCCAGCTCTTAGCTTCGTGGGCGTTCACCTCAACTTTGAAGCCCAGGAGGTGCTATTCTCATAGTGGCCCCAGTCCATGCCTGAGCAGGGCGGTGGCACAAAGACCCAGTCATTCCTGCCCGTGGGGACCCCTGTAATGTGCAAGCATTGCTCCAGGGCTCCGGTGGGGCTTGCAGAGAACTTGGGGTCTGATGCTTCCCCTGCTCAATCTGCTTCCAACCTTTCCTCGCCCAGGTGTTACTCCCCAGTGAAACTTCTGCACTCTGAACTCCTCCTCAGACTCTGCTTCCTGGAGAAGCCAGCCTGCAACAACTAATTACTTGACAGAGAGAAATAATCAATCAGCTTCGCTCTATTTCCAACTTCGGAAGTGCCAAGACGCTCTGGTACTCATACCTTTTCCTGAACTATTTCAGTAGCTGCTAAACACTCTCCCGGGTCCAGTCTTCTCACGCCCTGTGGAGCTCCTACCATAAACCTCTTCTCCACGCTGCTGCATCAGCACAGTCTCACCACTGTGTTTGCTTGTAAAAGGCTATGCAGCCGGTACATTCTGCACAGAGGGAAGTCCAGGCTCCCTGGCCTGCCCACGGCCCTTCCCACTGCCTCCATCTTTGCACACATCTCTCTCAGACTTGCAACCTGCTCCTCCTTCCCACACATGCTGTGCTTTCTTGGCTCTCTGCACTCAGCCACGCCCGTCCGCCTGCCAGGAATGCTCTTCTGCCTCTCCTTGCCTGGCTAACTTCTCCTCCCTCCTCGATGCCCTGGCCGCCCAGGGCTCTCACAGTCCCCTGTGCTTTCCCATCTCAGCACTTTCTCCCCATATCATCACTGGCACCTCCTTTCCACTTGTTGTGACCACCTGAGGCTCCCTTCCTGTTGCCTGGTGATGAACTGGTGCCAAGTCCATGTGTGCTGAACCAACCCAGCTGGTACACCCACTCCCTTCCTTTAAAGCAGCATGTCTCCACCTTGGCAGTAAGGACACCTGGAGCCGGAAAACTCCTTACAGTGGAGCCGTCCTGTGCATTGTAAGATGCTTAGTAGCATCCTTGCCCTCTACCCACTAGACACTAGGAGAACCCTCTCAGTTGTGATGAATGAATGGATACAGAAAATGTATACACACACAAAATGGAATATTATTAAGCCTTAAAAAAGGAGGAAATCCTGCCATCTGCAACAGCATGGATGGACCTTAAGGTCCATTCATTACGTTAAGTGACATAAGTCAGACAGAGAAAGACAAATACTGTATGATCTCCCTTGCATGTGGACTCTGACTGCCCCTACCCCACACCGAGCTCATAGGTGCAGAGCACAGACTGGTGGTTGCCAGAGGAAGGAGGTGGTGGGTGGGGAGAGTTGGGGGAGGTGGTTAAAAGATACAAACGTCTTGTTATAAAAGACATAAGTCCTGGGGACATAATATACAGCACAGTGACTATAGTTAGTAACACTGTATTGGATACTTGAAAATTGCTAAGAGAGAGGCTCTTAAAAGTTCTCATCACAAGAAAAAAATCCTGCAACGTGTGAGGTGATAGACGCTAACCAGACCATTTCACAACACAGTGATCACTGTACAATACAGGCGTCCCCCGCTTTTTGAAAATTTGCTTTACGACACTCAGCTTTTACAAAAGACCTACATTAATACTTATTTTCAGCAACCTAAAGAAATCCGAAGATGATTTTCCCTTTTGCAAAAAAAAGACAAAAATCAAAACTAGCCTTCAGCATGTGTTTCGCGGGGAGCTGTTGAGCACCCAAGCGGCGCGGGGAGAACAGCGCCGCCAAGCTCCTTCCCCCGGAACTACACTCAGCATTTCTGCATCAAGTCTCCACAGCTTTGAACATGTCTGCGAGCTTCTGTGCCCTGTCTGGATTTACTTTTTGCATCTCATCCATTAGCAAGAAGTGTTCTAAACTAACTTTTCTTTGCTTTGCACCACTCAGCTTAGGAAAGGTTTCGTAGGAACACTCTACGTTCAGAGGGCGGAGAATACCTGTACGTACAGGTATCAAATTGTTACGTTGTGTGCCTGAAACTAATGCAGTGTTGTATGTCTACAACAGCTCAATAAAGAAATGAACAGATTCAAAAATGTCTCCAGACACTGCCAATTGTCTCCTGGGGCAAAGTCATGACCCTGTTCCCAACCACTGCCTCGAACTGTTGTAGGCGCCTGGCTCCTCCTGGGACGTGCAGCACCATCCAACGCCAGCTCACGAGCCCTCAGCATAGCACTGGCTCTTCATGAGCCCTGAGCACCATAAGCCCACAACTGTTACGGAAGGTACTCGCTACATCCTCCTGTCCCTTCCTTCTTTTTTACCTTCCTTTTATCTAAAACTGACAATGGGTGCAGAACACTCTCACCTGCTGTGGGTTGAACTGTGTCCTCATAAACATATATTCAAGCCCTAACCTCTACCCGTGAAAGTGACTTTATTTGGAAATAGGGTCTTCGCAGATGTAATTATGATGTCAGTTAAGAGGAGTTCACACTGGAGGAAGGCAGGCCCTTAGTCGAATATGACTCTTGTCCTCATAAGGAGAGGAGACACAGAGACAGACCTACACAGGGAAGACGGTCATGTGACGACGGAGGCAGAGATTGGGGCGATGCAGCTGGAGGCAGAGGACCGCCAAGGACTGCCAGCAGCACCAGAGGCGGGAGAGAAGGCAGGTCCCGCCGACACCCTGACTTTGGACCTCTGGTCTCCAGAACTGTGAGAGAATCAATTTCTGCTGTCCTACAGCCATCTGACTGTGGTGTTTCGTTACAGCAAAAACCACACTTCATCACCTCTGTTAGCATTTATCACCTTGCGCTACAGCAAAGCACCGAACCACCTGGAGACTTATTCTCGTGACCTGGAGGGGCCCCAGTACCAGGCCAGCCAAGGGATTTTAGGGGGAGCACAGGGCGACGGCTCTTTGCAGTCATGTGTCAAAAATAGCCCTGAACTCAGCACCGCGCAGGCCTCAGCGCTCCTAAAAACAGGCTCCATCCAAGCATTTGTTTTCACCTGCTATTGGTGTTTAAGAGGAGGAGGAAGTCACGGGGTTTTTAACTTAGGTTTGGCTTCTTTGTACAACCGACAGCAGTGCGATCCTTAGTAGGCTATGTGAGAGTCGGGGAGTAAAATATACTGGAACTCATGTTTGTGGTTTCATGAAGGTTCATGATGGGCCAACCCCAGAGCCTTCACCTGGCCCGTGTGAGGGGCGTGGGGCTCCACCGTGCACAGGGGCTGACAGGGAGCCCTTGAACTCGCTTTGCTTTTGGCGCAGAGTGAGCTAGCGCCGTTCCTCGTGCAGTTTACTGGGTGGCGGAATTGGGGACGGTGCT